CCCAATCCAAAGATCCAACATGCCCTTCACCCAGGCCTTCACCTTTCTGCATCCTGACCTCTCTCTCTGCTGATCAGTCCTTTATTAATTTGCACTGGCTATGCAATTCACATAAACTCTCATTTAGACCTGTGACAAATGATCCTGCGAGTTAACGATGATTCTCCGCAGTTCAGGCACATCAAAGAGTTTAAGTGACGTATCAAAGTTCACACAGCTAGTAAGTAGAAAGCCGAGTGCTTTAATTCCACGTTTCACATTCTTTCTTTTGAGTAGTCAGAAGACAGGCAGTTACACCAGGACAAGAGTGCCCCCAGCTCCTCCCTCCCTGACGTTTGCCCCTCCAGGAAACTGCTTTCTCTCTTGCACGAAAATTTGCTGTGCATTCCCTTCAGTTTATCCAGAAGCCCAAATGAAGCAAAAACAGCAGGCAGAATGGGCTCCTGGAATTCTGAATCCCTTCGACTTTGATTTGCTTGGCATCTGGGAAAGAGGTGGTGGGGACCTAGGTGATTCTACCAGCAGCATTCTTATCCTCACGTGCTTACAAAAGGCAAATGTTTGTCTTTTCTTCCTGGGAGAGAAGGGAGGCAAGTGCAAGGTGGCTTTCCTCTACCCGCAACCCTACCCTGTAATCTATCAGTTCAGTCACACCAACATCCAACGAATCATCAGAGACGGCTGTGTGAGCCCTCACTGTGAACATCAGATACGCTGCCTTAAAAGATCCATGAAGAGATCTGAATGCATTTTTTTAAAATCTGGTAGAAAAGACTTCTTAATCCCTGCTCAAACATTTTCCTAAATCCTCTCATGTTGACGTTAAAGAGTCCCCAAATTTCACCCAGGAATTAAGCCTAAGTTATTTAAATTGTGTGATTAGAAGTTGACATTGGAGCTTAAACAGGCAGCTTGTGGCATTAGTGCTGCTGTGATATCTGCCAGTTCTTTTGGCCACGTTTTGGGTAAAATTCCAAAATTCTTGAGCTGATTATATAAGACAAATACTACAGCTTTTAAAATAGAGGCAGAGGTCTGGGAGTGAAACACCATTGTTTTTTCAAGCTATCATTTCAGTGGGGAGTTGCCATTTAAACCACATTCTCTGCAGAAGCAAAATGACCATCTCATACCACTGTCCCATTGCAGGTACTGATGATGTGCCTAGGTGAGAAATGACATCCACTTATTTCCCTGATGGAAAAGTTCTGCTCCATACATTGCCAACAATCAGATAAAAGTGGAATCCTCTCCTACCAGAGAATGATAGCACCCCCAGCTTACAAATGAATGTTGTTGTACCTGGCATCTATCCTGTGTCCAAGCACATGGTAGAAATTTAGTTCAATTTTTGGCCTGCAAGAATGTGTGTAGGGAGCATCTCCCTGACTCTGGCCTTTGTAAGGCAGCTAAGAACCCAGGGGAATCTGAGGTCAAAGAAGAATCTAAATGCCAAGGGCGTTCATTCAAGGAAAAGGAAGTCCACCTAATTCATAAAAGCTAAGGAAGTAAAACTAAGCCACTTAAGGACAGCTTTGAGTAAAAGGACCAATCCAGCAAACTATTAATATAATAACCTGTGCCCAAAATGCCTTCTAATGTCTGTGAGGCTGCTTTTGAAATGTGTTTATAGTGGGGCTGCCGTTGAAGACCCCTTTAGAAACTCAGCCTAGATTGACAGAATGCTGTTCCTTCTCAAGGCTTAAGTACTCAGAGTAGAAAAATGGCCTTGTTTTCCCTTGCAGACTTCAGTGGGGTTTTTTTTAATTTATTTTTTATTTATTTTATATATATATATATATATATATATATATTTTT